TTTTGTCTTTTGTAAATGGTTGTTAAACCGGACAACTCTTAGAAAGATGACTTCAAACTTAATTTTAAAAGGCCTGTTCTGGTACCAAATGAATAAGCAGCATTTCCTTATTAATAGTTTTGCAAGTTTCTCATTACAAATTCCTCTGAAAAAAGAGAAAAAACTCTTTTCATAACTATTTACTGCTTTCTTTTGTTGCTCTCTTAACTTAAAAACAATGTAAATCATGATAAAGTAATTTGTTATAGGACACCGTGAAATGAGGCCCAAACAGCTTTATGATCTGTGAAATGTGTTTCTAAAACATCTGCTTGTATATCAATGTTAGATATATTTGTATATATATGATCAATTACTGTGTTGTTGTCAGTTGTATAAGTTGATATGAACTGTTTGTAGTGGTTACCCCTCACTAGTAAATTATACAAAGGTCTTCTGTCTGTTTCAACAAGCCAATTTATATCAAAGTCTCTAGTAATGATATTGTTGTCTGGTGAAATGTTATTTAATACCTCAGTTATTGCTTCATAAAGTTGTCTTACAGGCACGTTTGGGGAGTGATATATCCCTATGATTGTCCAATCCTCAAACCTTGCTAACTTAATTACTGTTATTTCAACACCATGTATATTGTGACAATAGGGGTATCCAGGTAAGTATGGGATTTTACTGTACACAGCTGTACCACCATAAGACCTTGATCCATTGCTGGAATTAAGGTTATCATTACGGAAGAGAACATAACCAGCAATGTCATACATGTCATTATTATCTTGAGGATTAAATCTTGTTTCTGTGAAAATATTGATATCAGCACTTAGATAAATTAAGTCTTTACGTATATCTTCTATGTGTTTGTGAAGAGACCTTACATTAAGATGACACAGTTTAAGAAGGGAAAATGTTATGTCATGGAGAGGGAGATGCAAAGCTTAAGTTTTGCAGTTGTTCTTAATCTCTCCATCTGGATTAACAGCAATCTTGCTTTCACACAAATCAGAAATATATAGGCCTTCTATAGCAGTCACTCTACTGAGTCCCATATAATGTATGTGTGGAATAGTATTTCTGGTACTAAAATCCACAACAATTCTACTGTCAGTATCACCTTGTGACCTGTGAATTGTTTTTGCTGCTGCGGGACACAGTGGAAATTGTTTTCTAACAACTTGTGCTGTTCTGTTTCTACCTACCGCAAACTGTGTAGTCACAGGGTTTACTGGGGTCCATGTGTGTTCAATTCATTGTACATACAAATGTCTTTTTTCATTCCTTGTTTTCTGACCTACATCTGAGTGGTCAAATTGTACCCATTCAATACCAGATGGTTTGGTTTGTTGATGTAACTGAACTAGTTTAACAACATTTCCAGCACCATTTGTCATGCCATCTTAGCTCTGGAGAGATAGCTCCAATAACACTATCTTGAGCATTTATTGTGAATTTGTTTTCTGTGGCTGCATTATGGGCCCTTTGTTTAAATTCATCAACTTTAGCATTCTGTATAAATAGGTGAGGTGCATCTATTGGGTTGTTGATGTCTTCTTGTATAGCTCTCTTTAAGTTTTGCAATGTCAGCTACTGTGTGTTTACCTTTACGCAACCTATTAAGTAATTCTACAAACAATTTGCTGTCTCTTTGACCCATGATTTCATTAAGTTCAAACATTTTAAAGTGTTTATGCCATAAACTGGGAGAAAGAACAGCATAAATCTACATTTTTGAGGTCTTTGAAAATATAAGCATCCATAACAGATTCTAATTGGAATAAGTCACCAATAGCAATTATGCTCACACCTCCAAAATCCTCTCTACAGCCTTTTATATCTTTAAGCCTATTGTTTAGCTGTATTGCAAACATACCATTTCCTGCCATTGAGATTTCATCAACAAAAATCAATTTACTTCTCAAAGTGTTTAGTCTACTTGAATCAAGCTGTTTGTAATTTCTCAGTGATTGATTGACAGGAATGGCCAGAGTGCTATGAAGAGTGTCACCCTTAAGCTTTACCAGTTGGAGCTAATAGTATAACTATGATCTGATGAAAATCATCACCAGCTCTAGTGTTATAATACTTAAGCACTGCCTGATACAAAGCTTTTGTTAAATGCGATTTGCCAACACCAGCCCCTCCACTGAGGAAGCAGTAGAAAGGGGTTTCTGAGGTTTTAATCTGATGTAAAATGTGTTAAAAAAATTCTTTTTGCTCTTTATCGGGTGTCTGGACCATTTGACGAAAATCAAAATCAGGTAATTCATTCAATATCAGTGGTTCATTATTCAGCAATGTTGATGAAATGTTGAGATCATCAAAGAGGTCATAGTTTTCACTAAAATCAGGATGTAAATCTTCATGAGATCCAATCCTTGAACGGAATTGGTCAATGGAGATCCCCATATTTACTTGTGTGCTTGAGCGAGCAACAACAACAATCCAACTAACTAGAAACTCAGTTTATTAAAATAGATAACACTCTTGACAGTTCAAGGCAAACAATAGTTTCTTTCAGTTTGTGACACTTTGAGACACTCGTGAGACATTTTGAGACACTCGTGAGACACTTTGAGACACCCTGAGACTCTTTGAAGCGCAACCCGCACAAATACATTCAAGCCGACAAATGTTGGCTTGCGAGAGTACAATGACTCCTTTCAATCTGACACAACCCGCACCGAAGGTCCAAGCCGATAAATGTTGGCTTGTGAAAGCGTAAAAGCTCCTGTGCAACCTGCACTGAACACAAGCCGCGTTTCAGCGTGTTGACTTACGTGAAAAAATCTTTTGTTATAGACACCTGAAGAAATAACGAAACAAACGCCTCAGATTATGAAAGAAAGAACACAAACCAGGTGTACAAACGTAATCGCCTTTCGTGAGAGCTTAATCGTGAAGCTCCCACAACAAAATTGAAAAGTTAAAGCACGCAAAGAACCCGTGAAAATATGAAATGACTTATCCTTACCTTGGAAACAAAAATCCCCAAGAAACAAACATGAAATTCCGAATAAGTTTTCCAAAACCCAACGACTGAGAAGAGAAATGGCCACTGTGAAAAAACGCCGACTGGAATCCAGTCTTCACGGCTCACTGAACGCAAATAGAAACCACGTGACAAGCACTTCTCTCTCGTGGACAAATAAATAAAGAAATAAATTTCGCGGGCGTTGACTAAGTGTGGGAAACCCCACACAATGAGTCAAAAGCGCACATGGAATAAATCACTATAGCCTCTATAAGAATTTGAACTGTACTACATCGCCATGTCCTCTGTCGCATACAAGGGTCTGCTCATTAAGGTAGCCCGACAACTCAGTCAGCATGATCATCAAGAGTTACTCGAGATGTGTGGATTAGACGACGAGGCTGAGAACATACTGGACGCCCGTTCATTAATCAAAAGACTAGAGGAAAAGAGTCAATTGGGAATTGACCAACTTGGAGTTATGGAGGAAGTCTTGGCGACTCTAGACGAGTTGTCTCTGTTGGAAAAACTTAAAGAGTTCGAGAAGAAAAGGAAAGAATACACTAACTTACTTGCAAAGGTACATGGTGCACTCGATAGCGACGAACGCATTCATCTGGAACAACTCAAGGATATTTTTAAAAGAGAGACATCGATAGAGCTTGATGAGAGCATTTCCAATGTTCGAACATTGTTCAAAGAACTGGAAAAACATGGAAGTTTGGGATTTCGCAGACTTGATTTTCTGAAAGAGATTTTGACAGAAATAGAGAAGGAGGAATTGGTGAGAGAGATCGAGGAGTATGAGCAGCGACGAAATAAGAACGATGCAGCCGAAAGAAGAAAAGGTAAATAAAAATTTTGTGTTTGTGTATGAAACGCTTAAGGCAATTGAGTGTAGTAGGAGCATACGAGAGATATGGGGAGATTTTACAGCAGAATATTACGTACGTTTTTGCACCCGCATATCACTGAACTGATTTAACATCGACTTTTTCCTCGATCCTTAGTAGAGATCGTGTCTGAGTGGTGTCTCTCGTGATAAATGTGTTCTTACGTTCTTTTCTTTTTAAGCGAAAGTGTACTCTTGGGGCAAAGCTGTTGTCCAAAAGGCGGTACAAGGTAAGCAGAACTTTTCCCGTTATCATGTGAAGTAGTTGTTCGCTGTGTATCAAAATTTTCAAGTTATCATGAAGAGATGCAGCGATGAAATTCTAGCCAGGTAAATTAGCGAACAACCTCGAAATACTCGCATCCCATGAATTATTACTTGTGTTTACGTGTCGCCGCTTGTCTCGAAATTCGTTAAACATCCCGGTACTTTATATTATGCAACAAGAGGTCCTTTTATATGATCACTAATTAGCGGCCTTTTTTCTGACGAGGTGTAAATAGGCGTCAGGAAGCAAACCGTCATCGTCACGATTTAAAGGAATGTGGGCGGAGTTAATATGCCAAGCCTCCAAACAAAGGCGCTGGTGGTAACGCCGATTAGTGGTGATAATTTAACAACGAACCGACGCCATTTATTCTATTCCTTGCAATGACTGTGATAACGAATACATCGGACAGACCAAACGCCAGTTTGGTACACGGTTAAAAGAGCACCAAAAAGCGGTTTTTCTTTGCAAAAAGGAAAATTCAGCTTTATCGGAGCATACTTGCCTAACCAACCATACAATTGGGTGGGATAATTCTAAAATTAAATCGTGACGATGGCGGTTTGCTTCCTGACGCCTATTTACACCTCGTCAGAAAAATTAGTGATCATATAAAAGGACCTCTTGTTACAGCGTCTAGATCACCCCTGATGAAGGCACTAGACAGGAGTGTCGAAACGTTTGGTCTATGAATTGTAACTTCGGTTACATTCATTAAATCTGCAAACCAGAGTAGCATCAAACTATGTCTGATCCCGGTACTTGTCGGTACTTTGGCAATCAACTTCAAAAATAGTTGTATACAGTTTCATTCTGATCGATTCATCTATTTGCTATTTTAGCAGTGAAATTCTAGCCGTGTTAAAAATGGCTTGCGAAATTTGCGAACAACTTCGAAATATTCAGATCCAAATTTATTCCTATCGATCAATCCTTTGTTTACGTACCGCCGCTTATTCGGAATTCGTGTCATCGCAGTGCCTGTCCCTGCTTCGCGTGATGAAATCATTGTGGTAGTTTTGCTTGCCATAAATCAGTGCACTGCTTCGAAATACTTCAGACCCTAGCCTTATTTATTTTACACCTCTAAGAAGTATCACAGATGCCCCTTCACGCATACAAATATTTTTCTTTTGTCAGCACGCGCCGACAATTTTGTCAACACGCGCCAAAGTTCCGTAAATTCAAAAAGGTTTTCAGTTGCGGATGAAGGCCGTCCTTTGAGTTGGTCAACAATGGATACAAAAGAAAGAAGGTTGGAGGTGGCAAAGTGAATAACAAAGGCGATACGGGTCGATGATCAACGCGTTAGCTAACGCGTTAGCGAAAGAGCACTAACGCGTTGACTTCTTCGAGCCCACGCGTTGACAACGCGTTAGGTGGTTCGCTTATCTTCGAACGGTACTGTATCTTAAGTTTGTCAGAGACGATCAATTCAGGAAAATGATTGTAGTGGCTGCATGTATTTCAGCCCTGATTTCTATGAGTACAAGTTAAGCTTGTTTTGGTCCGGTCATTTTGGCCTCGAAATGGAGAACAAAACAGATATTTATATGTTCTAAACATGGAAACACCTGGAAGACACTGGAAATGTAGTAAAAGTATTTTTGTGTGGGATTTCCCACACTTAGTCAACGCCCGCGAAATTTATTTCTTTATTTATTTGTCCACGAGAGAGAAGTGCTTGTCACGTGGTTTCTATTTGCGTTCAGTGAGCCGTGAAGACTGGATTCCAGTCGGCGTTTTTTCATTATGTATTGTACGGCGGCCATTTCTCTTCTCAGTCGTTGGGTTTTGGAGAACTTATTCGGAATTTCATGTTTGTTTCTTGGGGATTTTTGTTTCCAAGGTAAGGATAAGTCATTTCATATTTTCACGGGTTCTTTGCGTGCTTTAACTTTTCAATTTTGTTGTGGGAGCTTCACGATTAAGCTCTCACGAAAGGCGATTACGTTTGTACACCTGGTTTGTGTTCTTTCTTTCATAATCTGAGGCGTTTGTTTCGTTATTTCTTCAGGTGTCTATAACAAAAGATTTTTTCACGTAAGTCAACACGCTGAAACGCGGCTTGTGTTCAGTGCAGGTTGCACAGGAGCTTTTACGCTTTCACAAGCCAACATTTATCGGCTTGGACCTTCGGTGCGGGTTGTGTCAGATTGAAAGGAGTCATTGTACTCTCGCAAGCCAACATTTGTCGGCTTGAATGTATTTGTGCGGGTTGCGCTTCAAAGAGTCTCAGGGTGTCTCAAAGTGTCTCACGAGTGTCTCAAAATGTCTCACGAGTGTCTCAAAGTGTCACAAACTGAAAGAAACTATTGTTTGCCTTGAACTGTCAAGAGTGTTATCTATTTTAATAAACTGAGTTTCTAGTTAGTTGGATTGTTGTTGTTGCTCGCTCAAGCACACAAGTAAATATGGGATCTCCATTGACCAATTCCGTTCAAGGATTGGATCTCATGAAGATTTACATCCTGATTTTAGTGAAAACTATGACCTCTTTGATGATCTCAACATTTCATCAACATCGCTGAATAATGAACCACTGATATTGAATGAATTACCTGATTTTGATTTTCGTCAAATGGTCCAGACACCCGATAAAGAGCAAAAATAATTTTTTTAACACATTTTACATCAGATTAAAACCTCAGAAACCCCTTTCTACTGCTTCCTCAGTGGAGGGGCTGGTGTTGGCAAATCGCATTTAACAAAAGCTTTGTATCAGGCAGTGCTTAAGTATTATAACACTAGAGCTGGTGATGATTTTCATCAGATCATAGTTATACTATTAGCTCCAACTGGTAAAGCTTAAGGGTGACACTCTTCATAGCACTCTGGCCATTCCTGCCAATCAATCACTGAGAAATTACAAACAGCTTGATTCAAGTAGACTAAACACTTTGAGAAGTCAATTGATTTTTGTTGATGAAATCTCAGTGGTAGGTAATGGTATGTTTGCAATACAGCTAAACAATAGGCTTAAAGATATAAAAGGCTGTAGAGAGGATTTTGGAGGTGTGAGCATAATTGCTATTGGTGACTTATTCCAATTAGAATCTGTTATGGATGCTTATATTTTCAAAGACCTCAAAAATGTAGATTTATGCTGTTCTTTCTCCCAGTTTATGGTATAAACACTTTAAAATGTTTGAACTTAATGAAATCATGGGTCAAAGAGACAGCAAATTGTTTGTAGAATTACTTAATAGGTTGCGTAAAGGTAAACACACAGTAGCTGACATTGCAAAACTTAAAGAGAGCTATACAAGAAGACATCAACAACCCAATAGATGCAGCTCACTTATTTATACAGAATGCTAAAGTAGATGAATTTAAACAAAGGGCCCATAATGCAGCCACAGAAAACAAATTCACAATAAATGCTCAAGATAGTGTTATTGGAGCTATCTCTCCAGAGCTAAGAAACAAAATACTAAGACAAATACCCAATGATCCAAGAAAAACAAAACAGTTAGCCTCAACCCTTTGTTTTGCTGAGGGTGAAAGAACACACCTTGTCATGAATGTACGAACCGAAGATGGCATGACAAATGGTGCTGGAAATGTTGTTAAACTAGGTCAGTTACATCAACAAACCAAACCATCTGGTATTGTATGGGTACAATTTGACCACTCAGATGTAGGTCAGAAAACAAGGAATGAAAAAAGACATTTGTATGTACAATGAATTGAACACACATGGACCCCAGTAAACCCTGTGACTACACAGTTTGCGGTAGGTAGAAACAGAACAGCACAAGTTGTTAGAAAACAATTTCCACTGCGTCCCACAGCAGCAAAAACAATTCACAGGTCACAAGGTGATACTGACAGTAGAATTGTTGTGGATTTTAGTACCAGAAATATTATTCCACACATACATTATATGGGACTCAGTAGAGTGACTGCTATAGAAGGCCTATATATTTCTGATTTGTGTGAAAGCAAGATTGCTGTTAATCCAGATGGAGAGATTAAGAACAACTGCAAAACTTAAGCTTTGCATCTCCCTCTCCATGACATAACATTTTCCCTTCTTAAACTGTGTTATCTTAATGTAAGGTCTCTTCACAAACACATAGAAGATATACATAAAGACTTAATTTATCTAAGTGCTGATATCAATATTTTCACAGAAACAAGATTTAATTCTCAAGATAATAATGACATGTATGACATTGCTGGTTATGTTCTCTTCTGTAATGATAACCTTAATTCCAGCAATGGATCAAGGTCTTATGGTGGTACAGCTGTGTACAGTAAAATCCCATACTTACCTGGATACCCCTATTGTCACAATATACATGGTGTTGAAATAACAGTAATTAAGTTAGCAAGGTTTGAGGATTGGACAATCATAGGGATATATCACTCCCCGAACGTGCCTGTAAGACAACTTTATGTAGCAATAACTGAGGTATTAAATAACATTTCACCAGACAAAAATATCATTACTAGAGACTTTGATATAAATTGGCTTGTTGAAACAGACAGAAGACCTTTGTATAATTTACTAGTGAGGGGTAACCACTACAAACAGTTCATATCAACTTAAACAACTGACAACAACACAGTAATTGATCATATATATACAAATATATCTAACATTGATATACAAGCAGATGTTTTAGAAACACATTTCACAGATCATAAAGCTGTTTGGGCCTCATTTCACGGTGTCCTATAACAAATTACTTTATCATGATGTACATTGTTTTTAAGTTAAGAGAGCAACAAAAGAAAGCAGTAAATAGTTATGAAAAGAGTTTTTTCTCTTTTTTCAGAGGAATTTGTAATGAGAAACTTGCAAAACTATTAATAAGGAAATGCTGCTTATTCATTTGGTACCAGAACAGGCCTTTTAAAATTAAGTTTGAAGTCATCTTTCTAAGAGTTGTCCAGTTTAACAACCATTTAAAAAAGACAAAAATAAACTACATAACACACAGTCCTGAAATTTCAAGGCAGCTCCTTTAGCATCTTGGCTAATTTCTAACTGCAACCTTTATTGACAACCCTGTATTAAACAATTATTCCACAGTTAAGTCTGCAACCCCTCCTGAAATACTCCAGGATACCAAAAAAAACAACAACAAGCAAACAAACATATTAGTGAAGTGAGCAAACAACCACATGCGTGACTTTCACGTAATATAAAATTCGTGATTGCAGCATTCCCACGTGCGTAAAGTGCTTGTAACTTACGGGAAACACACGCATGTTACACCAAAAAAACCCGCGTGTAGTACAAGAGGCCGATTACTCGCAATTTCTCGTAGTTTTGAATTTCCCTTTTGTTTTTCAGAACACCCATATACCTGTACTTTTTTACACTGATGCGATAGAAATTAATTGGAAAAACATTCCTTGAAATAGGAAGTCGTCCTGTATTTTCAGCGAAAAAGATTGTCAAGTGATCAAAACAACACCGGCCAGATTATATTCACGTGCTCGGCAACGACTTGTGGAAAGCGATCATCTTTCATTCTTACCATCAAAACAGTCACGCTTGCATAGACGAATAACAAAACGAAACGATTACAACGGAAAGACCCAAATTGGCGTAGAAAGAAATAATGCTGCAAATTACCATTTTTGTTATGTCATGTGTACATGTTTCCGTGGGAATTTCTGTGTCAACAGCTTGCTGTCACTCACAAACTCTTCGTGATTCTCGCTGGTCCTCGTTATGTTCAGCGCATGGACGATTCGAAGACGCTTCAAATTTGGTTTTTAAGTTGATCATAGCACTAATCTGAAACATTTGAAGTCCATTTCAATATAGTAAATGTCGAAACAGGCGTGTAAAGACAATAAATATCGCAACGATCAGTACAATCATAATAGCGCCACGACTTTGGACTTACTTCTTCGGAAGGATAGATCTCGAGTTCGAAGCCGACTAATTACGACTACGAAGAGTCCACGCTAATCCACGTGTATCCACGAGTTAAAAAGTAGTAGCAGAAATTTTTTTCAATGACTGTTACGAAAATATTTACTGCTCCAAGTATTTCCAGTATTGCCGTATAAACAAATAAATAGCCTAAGCCACCAAGAGGTAATTTATTTGTTGAAAACGATTACCAAACGTTCAAAAACACGCCAAAAAGCTTCCAGGGAGGGAAGGAAAGGCATATTGCTTGATAAAAGGAAAAGTTAATACCCCAGATCCCTCCTGTGAATCTGTATTTGTTCAAATAATTCCCACACAAAAATTACTATTCAGACTGTTGATTCCAGGCCTAATATCACCTCTGTAGTACAGTTGACTCACAGTGAGCGACAGGTTTGCTTCCGCTCAAAAACCCCTTCCAAACACTTTGTCAATAAAATCCCACACAAGTACGTATTGCGGACCTATTTTTCAGAGTATCCAGAGCACAAAGGAAAATGTGAGGCAGTGTAAGGAGACCGAGTGTTCAACGCCATTTGTCATAAAAACTACCACCAGCTTGTACTGACTAAAATTTATCAGGAAGGCTTTTACTTTTTTTGTTGCGAAACTCGTGGATTTTAGAACTTTGTAACGACCTACGATAAATCCTGGCAACTAGAATTTGAGTCCGCATTGGCAAACTATGCCAGCAGGTCTCATGGGCAGATCAAGGCCTGACGAAAAAATTTGACAGCTTTGAAATTTTTAAACGGATGCAAAAATCGAGACAAAAATTTGTCATGACAATTTTTCCTTTGATTTTGTTAAGAGAATTCTGGTTTTGTCTACTCGTGCAGATAGCCCAGAGAGGCCCTTGCGAATCAATTTTTAGGTAAATAATAGCCTTCACATTCGAGAAATTAAAAATATATTACTCGTGTGATCCGAAGCTGATCCGACTACAACTATGTTTCCGAAAACTTCGAAAACATCTCCAGTAAGTCTGGCTTTCTTTCACTGCCTCACATTTTCCCTGGTGCTCTGGGTGCTAACAAGTACTTTCGCCGCATTTCCAATGTTTCCGAAAATGTTCCGATGTTTAGCACATTCCAATAACTGTTCTATTTTTTCCATATCGGGGCCCAAATGACCAGACCAAAACAAACTTAACTTGTACTCGAAGATTTCGCTGGATAGCTGGTAGTACTTCAAATGACTCGATACGTCGTCTCGGCATTCCAGGAGAGAAATCAGGGCTGAAATACCCGCCGCCACAACAATCTTTGCTTTTCATGAATCAAGTAAACATTTTAAAAGATAAGATTCTTAGTAAAATGTAAAATTCTACAGTCAATTTTCATAACCTTCGACTCGTTCGTTACATTAACTTTAATTTTTAACTCGTGAATTGCGCGCATGCGCGAGAGCGAGTTGTAGATATGACGTGAGAATGGCACTCGCTCGCTCGCTCGATTGGTCCATTCCTGTAAACTTT